GACACAGAACATGTGCTGTTTCCTCAAAGAGTAATTCTTTATCGATAGATTAGTTCAACAAGCATGACAGTTATGAACGAGGTGTCTATGATATTTGTGGACAATTTACTGTGAGTATTGTTGTCAAAATCGGTACGTGACTAAAGTGAGGACCTGCATGGTGCCCTAATAATGGCCGTTACGGCCCCAACATGGCTGTCTGTGACGAGCATGTCAATGGTCACGTGCATGTTCTGGTAACCATGCCCACGTTGTAGCCATGGGACAAGCTACCCGATTATGGCTGATCCTTCCCCAAAAGGAATAGTCCTGCACGCTGACAGGGGAATATATTTATTTTATGAAAACAAAACCAATCTAGATATGCATTAGCCAGCTCTATTCCACAGCATTAGTAAAATTATTTGTTTTGATTTTAGAGGAGAGAAATGTATTGTATAATAAAAGATTTCATAGAATGGGGATTATGGGACGAATGTTAAACTCTGGGCATATTTCTTTGCCACAAGACCCGTCACTCATCTGTGATACGCAACAAGAATCTGCTTCCATCCGACTAGTAGTTCTTCATCCATGTCCTCAGACTCCAACAACGCCTTAACAAACACCACGCAAAACTGTACCTGCGACGGTAGGACTCTTGATCACACTCCTTGACCCCAAACCTGCTGATCTGAGCTGACTTCTCAATGTCCGTGAATCCGTGAAGATCTGGGTTAGAAATGGTCTTTAGCAACCCATGCTTGTCGTAAATGGCGACTATGCTAGTCGTATAAGAGGCGACTAACGGGATCGGGTGGTCAGGCTCGCAGACTTGGTTGATGCATGTCATCGTATCCCAATTGCGTGGGTCGATGCTCATGATATTAATCACTGGATTGTCTGGTCCAGCCTCGATTATTTACAGAGTGCGGCGTTAAACAACAAACAAACAAACAATATCCGTAATGACAGTTGTCTGTGAGCATCCAGTTCTCCTTCAGACAGGTGCTCGTGGCAAAAGGGTTGTCCGCTAACCATGCGGAGTAAGTCTCGAATGGTTGCATGTGCAACATGCACGTGCTTTGCGCGAGTGAACTGCAAGCCAACATTCACATCTTAGCCATGATTGTATATCTGTTCGCGCCCACACAAAATGATTATACTTTTGACATCTGCGGTTTATATTATGAATATTGTATGGTTATGATGACATTGAACATATTGAATGGCCCGAAAATACATTTGACTCCTTAAATAAGCGCGAATATAAATTCCCCCCCCCCCACATCCCCCCCCCCCCCCCCCCCCCCCACACACACACACACACACCCCACACCCCACACACATACACACCCCACCCCACCCAAAAATATATCCCAGAGTGTATAACCATTATATTCTATATTCCAGCAAGACATTTAAAAAGAAAATAATAATATCTTTATTATTTACATCATTCTCGATTACCCGGTGTATTGTACCTCCATATAGTACTATGCACATGATAGAATGGAGATATATGATACTCTGGACTATCAAGGAGGTATAAATATTTGCTGACGTATTAATCTATATAACTTATAACACCGGCCCATCCTGTGTATACGAGTTGACAGGTTCAAGAGCTCATCCTTTTTGAACGATGCCTGCCAAGGGCGGCATAACAATGACTCTGAAATGACTTTTGTCAAGTACCTTTTTCTCATGTTTATATCGCGTGTGTGTTTGTTATACATTCCCTCCCGGTGTGCAAACAAACAATGCATGGGTTTTAGCAATGGCAATTCCTACTTTCCACATTCTGGCGTTGCGCTGTTTCTTCGTGCATTTTACTGTTATATATAGACAGGCTGATATCTTCACTCACGAATTGCACGTGTAGATTTTGTTACAAAGAGTCATTTTGACCAGGGATGTTAGATCGAATACCTGATATTCAATTCGTTGCTGATATATTAATATTTGCCGTGACAAAATATAAATATCGTTCAGTCCTCAACAACTAATGTCATTTCCAAAACAGAACAAATAACAGTAGTGGAGATTTAAAACAATAAATACCACAACGTTAGTTCACTTTTGGGAGGTTCAAATTACACATCTATCCTACATGTATGGTCTAATTACGAGTGTTTGAGATAATAATTTCCTTCATAATAAATATTTCAGCTATATCATGCCGATGTTGTGCACATCATCTACAACAAGAGTTTGCCACTAACGTGGCTATATCCCCCGCCCCTGTTGCAGAATTTATGACATAATTAAATCTAAACAAACCCTAACCTTTTTTAACCGAGGTGGAACTTGTCATGGAAATTGTAAAAAAAAGAAGAGTTTGGACCCTAAGTCCATCTTGTTGCCATGGAAACGTAAAAAATAAAAATGTCTAAATAGCAAAAGGCACCAGTTCAGCATGTATCTGACAAACCTACAAAGTTTGATAAAAAAATATTGAACGGTTTATGAGTTATGCTCCGGAAACGAACCCTACCCTCACAGAACCTAAGTCCATCTTGTTGCCATGGAAACGTAAAAAATAAAAAATTCTAAAATTTCTCAATAGCAAAAGGCACCAGTTCAGCATGTACTTGACAAACCTGCAAAGTTTCATGAAAAAATATTGAACAGTTTCTGAGTTACGCTCCGGAAACGAAACGTGACGGACGAACGGATGTACGGACGCCCGTTTCTATATCCCCCGCCAACTTTGTTGGGCGGGGGATAATAATTAAAGATATAAGGCACCCATGTCAGCAACTCCGGTATAAGGCACCAATGCTAGCAACTCCAGTATAAGGCACCCATGTAAGCAACTCGAGTGAGTGAGTGAGTGAGTGAGTGAGTAAGTATGGTTTTACGCCGCTTTTAGCAATATTCCAGCAATATCACGGCGGGGGACACCAGAAATGGGCTTCACACATTGTACCAATGTCAGGAACCGAACCCGGGTCTTCGGCGTGAGGAGCGAACGCTTTAACCACTAGGCTACTCGACCGCCCCGTGTGTGTGTGTGTGTGTGTGTGTGTGTGTGTGTGTGTGTGTGTGTGTGTGTGTGTGTGTGTGTGTGTGTGTGCGTGCGCGCGCGTGCGCGTGTGTGAGTGTGTGAGTGTGAGAGAATAAATTAATCCTTTTGTAAAGATGAAATCTACTCAAAGTATATATATTTATATTTGTATGCGTGTATACTATATAGTAGGTGTATGTATATACCCTGCGTGATGTGGGGTGTCCGGGTAACAGTATGAAGTCTCCAGTACCTGATTGTTGCATAAAGAGTTCACTGAAATGGGATCCGACCCGTGAAGATCAGGGTTAAAATAGGTCTTCATGCTTGTCGTAAAAGGCGACTATGTTTGTCGTATGAGCCGAGAGGTGGTCAGGCTCTCTGATGACATCGTAACCCAATTGCGTGGATCCATGGTCATGATATCAATCACTGGGCTGTCTGGTCCAGACTCGATTATTTGCAGACCTCCGTCAAACAGTTGGAACATTGCTGAGTGCGGCATTAAGCACCAAACAATCAAATAAATAGAATCCAGTGCTAAAGCTCTGTGATCTAACTGATTGCATGACACGCAAACAGGTGGATCGTCACTGGATGTTCAGTCACTGGTTTATCCCAGCAGTGCATACCGCTGTCGTCTGTCATACCGACCCTGAAACATACACATCCAGTACAGCCCATGAAAATCTATAATAGTTTGCAAGTCTAGATTACTGCAGTTCTATGTGCACCTATTTATTATATTTTATTAAGATACTTTAACAACGTTTTTTCTATAAAATATTTTCATTATTAGATGATTAGATGTTAGTCGATATACCCAAGCCGTGAAATCATTTTAATGTTGTTGGATGTCACAGGACAAACCCTACATATGGTCAAACTCCAGTTTTATGTCTTCATACATGGACGTAGCTCTATACTAAAATTGTAACTTAAAGTAGAAACTGGTAGCTGGTCTAGACATAGCTGATTTGAATATGGCTTCAGTACAGTACTACATATACCGTATTCGACGTAATAAGCGCCCCGTTCTAATAAGCTCCCACGGCGATATTTGCTAATATATTGGCTCGTGAACAATCCCAATTAGCACCCCTTCCAATTGATCGATGTACACAAGACTCATTTATTCGCGTATAATAAGCACTCGTGTGTTATATGCACCCTTAATTATGGGCAATTAAATTCTGGAAAAATATATCTGTCGTACATAAACATTTCAGGCTGTCAGCATAAACCACGGAAACTCTGGGTTTTTTCGACAAAATAATATTCTATTAAGAGCCCCCTATTTCTAATTTTGAGAGCGACCTGGGCGCTTATTACGTCGAATACGGTATATCGAGTAAAGCTATAAGGTGACTTAAAGCTTTGATTATTTATGATTTAATGACAAATGTTTTCTTTGTTAGAAGCTGGACACAAAGAGTAAATGAACACGTGGTTTGTTTAAGATAAAACCGCTTAGCAGATTTACTACCGATTATAGTCTGTTCGTGAGTAACGCACTTAAAGCCTCTTCATCGCCCTTCATTCTGTCAACTTTGACCGAGTACCCGACATGGCAAACTTTGGAAGAGTTACTTCCCTTAGTTCGTCTGCTACAATCATTTTGGAAGATTTCCGAATGTTATATTTTTATTTTGAGTGCATTGTCAGATGTTGTATAGGTCTCATTGATTGGTGTTTTGGGTGAGGTCTATTAGTAATAAGGGTGGTGTTGACAAAATAATACGTCGTTAGAAAAATACATGTTGACATGTGTGTCGACAGTATTAGTTCCCTGTGAAATATGGTTACTTTTGAGCGGGGATATTGTTGATGAGAATATCATAGTACTTAATCATAAGTTTGCTCGGATAAACAGTCTACTGAATAATTATGTGTTTTGCATTTATATTGTAGTATTGGCATCGTCAAAGTCAATGTAACAAAACAATCGTATTATGAATAATAAAAGACCGGATAAAATATTCCACTTCACCGAAGACTGCCGCGCGAATGTGTAAACAGCAACGATAGTGAAACTAACACGCTAGCCTTTCAGATGTAAATGTTATCGGAGAACACTATTGCCTGTGGCCTAAGCAAGGCTGTTAGCAGGGTGGCAACAGAAGCAAGCCGTAGCTTTTTGGAATAGAATGCTTTGGATCTAAGTTTACTGTTTGGAAAAAATAGCAATCATGCCGAAACTTGGGCGCCGGGTAAGTTATTTGTCAAAAGTTATCTGTTCATATTTAGAAATTGATAGTTTATGATTCATTTTAATATCCATTCTCTGGCTAAAGGATCAAGGGTATTATCTAAGTGCCCGTTTCTTGATCATTTCATAACGGTATTCTGTAAGAGGGATTTTGTATATAGAGCCGCTTTCCTTTGTAGAAAGGCGCTCGGATTTGTTGACAGTATCTCATATCTTTCGCATTGAACAAGTATTTAGATGAAAGATATTTCTTAATGTTCTAGATGTAAGATAGACTAAATGGCACGAGCAGAATTTATCACTTGATATCATGCTACCCTGTGCCACTCAGCCTAACTTTACCTGAAGTTCTATTGTTTTTGTTCATGTTCTTTGATGTTGCGAAGCATTGTTTTCTTCAGCACGGCGATTTTTTCTGGTGCTGAAAGGAATTTTTCTCTGAAAATGGAAACTCAATAGATTTAATCATAAGGCACTGTGTTTGAACGCAATGTCTTAACTTTGATTCCAGGCTATTTAAGACATTGTTTGAAAGGATTATATCATGTAATTTTACAGTTTTGTAAAGCTTATTAATAATAATGATAATAATAATGATAATTTGTCAGAACCTTTTTGCAGTGACTACTATTGGCTATGGCATTTGTGGAAAAGTCAGTACCAAATACATAATTAGACATACATATTGTCTGTTTGTAATTATGTTGTCATTTATGGAAATACTTATTTCAGGATTAATTGTTAATTGCCTTGAGAGGTGGATATTGTCTTGCAGTAGCAATGTAGGCACAAGGACTTCAGGAACCCCTTAATTTCTGACACTGAGTAAGCACAAACATGATTAAGGGGTGGGTGTAGTGTTAGCAGGAGCACAGGGGACTTTCATCATGTGGTTATTGATGTAATAGGAACAAATTAAATTGTAACCCAAGTTACCCAACCAAGTATGACTCAAAAATATTATTTCCCAATCAATGTTTATTTAAACTTTAGTTTGTAATAAGCAGTTTCAAAGTTTATGGAACAAATACTTCTGGAGTGAAGTATCTATCCTATAGACAGTAGATGTATTTGGGTTTGCTATCATTTTGAACTAAACAAACCTATTCAGTCGTCATTAACACTTGACACATAGGTGCCCTATAGGTGGGTTAAGAGCCAAACCCACTCTGAAGATAAGGTAATGTCTTTAGATCAGATGCAACATTGAGGCCCCATATGGGAGACCCATTTGGTATTCTTTAAAATCATTCAATCAAATTATATGATATACTGATATTTGAAATAAAAGTTTAAAATATATGGTAGGTATTTAATCAAATTTAAATTTCTTAAAAAAAGTTTTTCTTGTTGAATTTTAAACTGTTATTAGAAAAAAAGGTTATTTGAGTTGTTGAACCCCAAATACCCCTACCCCCTCCCACACCACCATCACCTACCCACCCCACCCCTCTCTCTCTTCCCCCCTCTCCCTACACACACACAGAAGCCTATTGAGTTCATCACACTACACAGTTAAAATGTATATCAAGGTTGAAGTGTCTTTTGAGTGTAGTTAGGGAAGGATTATTTATGTTGTTTAATTTTCAAGTGAATGACATCCTTGTACACCTGATTTACAATCTGTTTACTTTGTGGATAAACAAGTTGTAAACATAGGGCATGGACCATGTCACTCTGTAGAAAAGGTTTGTTTAACTTAGCTAAATGATATTGATCTATCACTTTTAAATAGGTTGTCTACTAATTTATGCATTAATTTGGTGCAAATATGCTTTTCTCTGAGAGTTATTGTCAATAAATTGTGTTGTAAGAATTCAACTTGTCACAGGGCTAAGACTGTTCAGGTTATACCAGTGTATAGTGGAATTGCTTGATGTGTTGGCAGTTAATAACAGTGATGAACGTAAACTCTTGGTGATAAACTAAGTTCACATGAACAAGTACTGTTTGTGATCTCTCTGCTTTGGCATAGACCTAACAACCCAAAACAAATTGATAGACATCAAGAATCAAAAGCCAAGGATCTTTAGATAAGACAGTCTGTGTCAAAAACTTTGGAACTGACTTGACCAGACTTGCCTCTGTATCATTTGCAGATTTCGGTGTTATATGGACTGTTTATAGCTGAACTATAGAATACTAGATCCAGGCTTAGGACTAGTTGCTAAAGTGAAACCTTCACTTGGTTCCAGACAGAGATTTGAACCCCAATTTTTTTATGTAAAGTGACTCAGAGCACATCCTGTGCAGGTGTTGGCAGATCTTTCACGCAGAGAGGTACTGACTGAAGAAAAAGATGTGGCTGTTAATGAGCTTTATGTTTCTTGATATCACACTGGTGCACTCTTGATTATTTACAGACCACTGTCATATTTTAGCTGGAATATTGCTGAGTGCGGCGTAAAACAACAAACGTTCAAAACAGATTAACTACAGTGATATGAAAGAATTGGGTATTCTTTAACTTCTTTTGAGTAGTATATAGTGTAGGAGCAAGTGGCAGTGGGTGTCAGTGAGGGATTGTGAAGTGTTCGATTGATAAGTGATCTGTCACTGGATTGTTTATACAACAATTGACTCTCTAATTGTCCGTGGAAAGTGACTCAGAGCACCTCCTGTGCATGTGTCGGCAGATCTTTCACGCAGAGATAAAGATGTGGCTTTTAAAGAGCTTGATGTTTCTTGATATCACTGTTTAAAAAATAAAATTGGAAGGTAGGTCAAATTTTAATTTTGTTTTGATTTACCCAAAACACTAACCTATATTCACAATTCATATATATTGTACTAAATGAAAGAAGAGTATGGGCTAGATTCCCGCATGTGACTCTACCGAAATAAAAAAGTAATAGTATTTGTACTTTACTAAGAAAGTGTAATCCCACTTGTAATATAACATGTTATAAAAGAAAGCAACCACAAAGCCTTTCTTGAGTTGATACTTTGCTGGTCATAAGGATGCATTACACCAAAAAGTGCAACTGTGGAATGGAAAATAACTGTAAACTTGTAGAACTGGAATAAAGGTCACAGTCTTTTCCACTTTTGTGAAACCACAAGCACTAGTATAGCGCTGAGAAACAAGGATCATCACCATGGCGACAGGGATTCAAACCAGCTATCAGCACACAGTGAATTATTGTGCGTTTGACTGCTGGTCAACCCTTCACTTTGTGTGTTGAGTAGTACATATGGACCCTACTTTTCCCGAACTGGCAACTTGAAAATTGTAGGGGTGCTCAAGAATTGAGTTGGACACACTAACTCTCACAAGGTCATAGCAGCAGCTATGGTCTCTGATAGCAGTGAGGTGGTCTTAGGGGATAGCTGGGGTGGTAATATCAACACTATGCACCTGTTCCTAATTTAATTGAAATGCTCAACACATTAATGATGTTCTGGGTAGCTATTCTGTCTCTGGAACCCCATGATGACTTATAACAAAGGGCTCTTAATCATCTATGTATAAGATCATGGTACAGTCTATGTCATGATTGTACATCTCTAGCAACAAGCCAGGTTGGATAATTGGCAACAAATAAACTGGCCTCTCCTCGTCAAAAAGAGGTTTTGGGATAGATAACAGGACATCGGGTTCAGCAGCCTTAGAAATTACAATTTACAAAAACTAGTCCAAAACTCTTGTGTAAACCTTATTTTACTAGTCCTCAGAGTTGGTAGCTAGTCCTGGTTGAACAAGACAAAAATATTTACTATATTTACATTTTCTGTTCCATTTAGTTGCAAAATTGAAACCAAACTGGTTCAGAATTATAGCCAAGAAATGTTGCCAGTCATTGAGAACTACATGTACCATCATTGGATTTTTACTTGTCCTCAGCAAAATTTATTAGTATCGGGCTGGACTACCAAGAATTTTGAAGGCTTTTCAGTAATACATCTATTGTATTCTTTAAAGAGTAAATAAGTCAGATAGAATTAAGAAAATCAATACATTTTGTCACACACCGAAACAATAGAATTGGTGAAGCCACATACCTCCTATTATGTCTACAGAAAGTGGAGTGAAATATTTATATTTCTTGATTCTAAACTCTTGGCTCTTCTTAAACTCGTTTAAGGCTCATATATACACTGATGTGAAGTTTGTTGACCAACTGTGTATTTACACTAATTGACCTTTCAGCGAAAGTGATTTTACAGAACTTATAAATTGCAACAATAGTCTGTAGATGTCCGACCATGTTGTCGTATGAAACATTGAATCGCAGTGCCACTCAAATTATAGTTTTTAATATAAGTATTTGTTTGAACATAACAAAATGCTTAAAAGAAGTGTTTATTTTCATTCTTGTCTACGACAGAATAGACATTTCTTAGGCGTTGCTATGGGCAGGGGGTCATAAATACAGTTCAATTCTGTTGAGAATAATCGACACACTTCGAGGCATTTATCAATTGATTGCAGTGCCTATACACTCAGCTCTAATGTTCAAATACCAACCGTTGGCCACTGATTTACTGTACAGCTCTGCATTTGTTGCCTTCATGAAGAAACACTCCTGTTAATTTGCAAAGATATCTGTCTTGGCAAACAACGGTTGTTTGATATTGTCAGGAGAAGATGAATTATGGCTTTATATGTTCTGCCTTTCCTTTGTGTTTCTAATGTGGACACAGCGGGGACTGACAAAAAGTAACACAATGGTGAAAATGACCTGTTAATGTTTATAAAGGTAATGTGTGACATAAAAGTTTTGAGGACTTCACTGACGTTGACTGAGCATGATGAAAAAGAGGACACGAATAGATATAGATAGTACATTAAGATAATAACAAGATGTAGAGATATGGTGTTGTGGTTACTAGGTGTGTCCAAGACTGACCAAATTTATGATCATCATGAATCATTTGGTATTGATTTAATCATTCAATTTTGTATCAGAATAATGTTACCAACACATATTATATGAATTAAGAATATATATTTTGGTGTACTATGGAAGTTTGTTTACAAAATCAATACATCTTGTTTTC